GGCTTCCAAGGGCCTCCGGCCTCCGTCCAAGCTGCCAAAAAGTTCGCCAACAGTTTGCCACGTTCTGCAAAAGTGGGCCAAGAGTGCCTCAAGCCAAGTGGTTCCGAGCGTCCTGAGTATCCAAACCAGCATCAAAATCCGAAGCGCCCCAACTATCCGCAACAATTCAGACTACTCCAAACACCCCAAACGCCCCAAAAATTTCCAAGTGTGTTAGGGTGCCATGAGCATAATATGGGGCCTTAATAATTAGAAAAGGCTTTTGTAACTATAGAGGGACCGTAAGGGAATATTACTTGTAGTTATTCCGACCCCCTATATTACTTGTGCTGACCAGTGCTGCACCCCAAGCCCTAAACCCTAGTCTCTGAGTCCTAGACCCTAAACCCTAAGCCTTAAACCCTAGTCTCTGAATCCTAGACCCTAGGCACTTACCGAAACTCAAGAAGAATCATCCAGGACCCGGGTCGGAACGCCCTGGTGGGTTCGTGTCCGCGCCCCCTGGCTTTCAACTTCTGAACTCTTGCCCATGGGAAAAGGTTTAAGAGTTTAAGGGTGTAAGGGTTTATAGGGTTTCAGGGTTTAGGGGCTAGGGCCCGAAACCCTAAACCCTAAACCCTAAACCCTAAACCCTAAACCCTAAACCAAGTGCATCCATGGGAGGCTTCAGCCCAACTTCCGGCTGTTCTGCCAGCGCCACGCTGCCCGAAGCCTGCCACTGGACTTGGATGTCGCAGACGCCCGGCATGTCAAGCCCAGAGGCCCCCAAAGCCTCTTAGGGTTTAGGGTTTAGGGTTTAGGGTTTAGGGTTTAGGGTTTAGGGTTTAGGGTTTAGGGTTAGGGTTTAGGGTTTAGGGTTTAGGGTTTAGGGTTTAGGGTTTAGGATCAAGAGCCCCTGGCCCTCTTCTTGTGGATGCAAGAAAGTTCGACTCAGGGCTTGCATGTCTGCGTATGTGTACTTCGCCACGGTGCGAACAGGACGCTTCGAGAGATTCTACTTGGCGCGTTTGCTAGGGTTGGGGGTTCATGGTTCGGGTTAGGTTTCGGGGTTTAGGGTTTAGGGTTTAGGGTTTAGGGTTTAGGGTTTAGGGTTTAGGGTTTAGGGTTTAGGGTTCAGGGTTCAGGGTTTAGGGTCCAGGCTGTCCTTACACCCTGAACCCGAGTTCATCCCTCAACCCTAAACCGTTTAAGCACATTCCAAATGCGCTGGTACTGAGAGCTGAACTCCTTCACCTGGGGTCTGTGGTGGAGCGCACGTGTGTTTTTGGTTTCCGAAGAGCACAAACCATTGTTTGTTTAAGGGCTTCTGAAAAAGAAAGGACAATGACCTCTGTTTGCCTTCTAAGGAAGCAATTTTTTTGTTGTTTTTTTTGGGTTTCGTAGGCAATTGCTAGCAATACCCCTTAGTTAAGTAACAAAGGACTATGTCATCGTGTACTCCTGATTGTCAAGGGTGCCAACGCTGAGATCAATGCACTTAAGTGAATCACCAGGCGCTGAGACGGGGAGACAGCCAAGCCAAAAGCACTTGGAGGTTCATGGTACTTACTAACCAATTATAACTGTACTTATAACCCTACTTATAATACCCCTAAAGGGCCTTATAGGGGTTATCCCACTTATAAGTAGGGTTATAAGCCCAGTTTTCATTGGTTAGTAAGTACCATGAACCTCCAAGCACACCTAAGGTCCCCAACTTCCGACTAGTTCGCATGCCGAATAGTGCCCTTATGTCATTCTTTCTAGGGGCCACGCTTCCTTGTGAACCCCAAGCAAGAAGGGGCAACCTAAACCCCTTAAAGCCTTAAAAACCCCTAAACGCCAAAACCCCTGAAGCCCTAAACCCTTAAACCCTAAACCCTTAAACCCTAAGCCCTTAAAAACACCAAACCCCTATATAAGCACTCATTCCGGCTGAGGAGATGCGACGAAGATGCTCCTGGATTCTTGCACAGCGAAGCTTGTGATTCGGCGCTTTTGTCGCATTTGGCCATATACCTTCTGGTTTCAAGGGCTAAGTGTTCAGGGATGGTCAGTGTTTTAAGAGTCCAATTTTTTTATGGTCACCTTATAAGCCTCAAAGTCTAAACCCTGAGCCCTGAGGAAGGTTGGGGGCGGGGGGGGGGGGGCCGGGTAATCTTGGGAGGAGGGGGATCAGCATGGGATCAGCCGTCTGGAAGGTGTTTTTTCCACCAGCGCTGGCAAGCGTTCCAAAGCGTCCGCAAGCGAAAGCGTTCGCAAGCGTCCGCAAGCGCTGCCCTAAACCCTAAACCCTAAACCCTAAACCCTAAACCCTAAACCCTAAACCCTAAACCCTAAACCCTAAACCCTAAACCCTAAACCCTAAACCCTAAACCCTAAACCCTAAACCCTAAACCCTAAACATGCTCATTCGCAAAGCTCAGCTCCCGGCTGTCGTCACGTTGGGGAGGTTTTAGGCTTCGAAAGCCACAAGTTCTACTCCTTTTGAAGGCTCCCTAAGCTTCCCTAAAGTTCCCTAGGGTTCAGGGTTTAGGGTTTAGGGTTCAGGGTTCAGGGTTCAGGGTTCAGGGTTTAGGGTTTAGGGTTTAGGGTTTGGGTTTAGGGTTTAAGTCACGGTCCTCTTGCTAGGTAGGCCTTTGGGATATTTTACATGTGTCCTTGTTGGGCTCAAGAGGATCATACTGAGGAATCTTGTTCAGAGGGTTTTAAAGGCCATCCTAGCTTGACTGCCGTCACATTCTCATGCTCTCAGAGGCCAGAAGTGTCGACAGTCACGAGGGCGGTAAATGTCACCTGTCATCACTTTTGATGCTGTCCCTAAACCCTAAACCCTAAACCCTAAACCCTAAACCCTAAACCCTAAACCCTAAACCCTAAACCGTGGCTCTGCGCAAGAAGTGCATGTCGGCATCGCCCCATCCTCGTGACTGTCGTCGCTCTTCGGAAGTTGGTCGGCACCTTTGCACGCTGTCCTAGGTAGGATAAGGGGGACCCTTCAAAGTTAAACCTTAAACCCTAAACCCTAAACCCTTCTTAAACCTCTTCTGGCTCTCTTAAACAGGGACCTTATTCAGAGGGTCCATATCCCCCAAGGGTCCCCCTAATCCCATCCCCTATGAAGGTGCTGATGCACAAGGATGGGGTTAGTCCTCATCATCGTGCCCAGCATCGTAACCTAGGCTTCGAATACAGAGTTTCCGAAGCTAGAGTTCGAGCATAGAGTTCGAACCCAGGGTTCGAACGGAGAGTTTAACGAACCCAGGGTTCGAACAGAGAGTTCCCGAACCCAAGATTCGAGCATTCCAGAGGAGGAGAGAATTGACTAGTCATTCAAGTTCCACTTCCCACGTTTCGTGTTTTCGCTGCTTGTATTCTTGATTTCGGAGTCTCAGCAAGAATAGAGAATCAATCTACATTCCACCCCCCTCGTTTCACGTTTTCGTTGAATGAAGTTATACGAAAATCGCAGCGCTTTTGTGCAGAAGTCTTAGAGTTACACCTCCTTCAAAAACATCATTGTAGGATCCTTTAGGGACGGCGGTTCATGGGGGCTAGGTACCTAGCGAACTTTAGGGAAGCTTAGGGAGCCTTGGGGAGTAGTTGCGGCGGCAGTTACCTCCTGGTTGGTCTGGAAACGCGGGGGTTGGTCTAAGTTGTTTGGCCCTCTCCTGGTCCCGAATATTTCCAAAGCCGTAAACGCTAAACCCTAAACCTTAATCCCTAATCCCTAATCCCTAAACCCTAAGCCCTAAACCCTAACCCTAAACCCTAAACCCTAAACCCTAAACCCTAAACCCTAAACACTCAACTTCGGAGGGCATCATGGGCATCCCCAAGTGGTGTGGGGACCCTGAAGGCCTAAAGACTCCGACCCTGGATCCTAAAACCCTGGAGGCAGTTTAGGGTTTAGGGTTTAGGGTTGAGGGTTTAGGGTTTAGGGTTTAGGGTTTAGGGTTTAGGGTTTAGGGTTTAGGGTTTAGGGCTTTGAGGCTTGAGGGTTTAGGGTTGAGGGTTTGGGGTTTAGGGTTGGTATCCCTAAACCCTAAACCCTAAACCCCAAACCCCAAACCCCAAACCCTAAACCCCAAACCCCAAACCCTAAACCCTAAACAACCCTAAACCCCAAACCCCAAACCCCAAACCCTAAGCCCTAAGCCCTAACTAGTATAGAGGGGGTTGTAGGGCCCATAAGTTTGGAGTTGCCTCCCAGGAGTGGTTCATCCAGTGCGAGACCTGGCAGCTTGGGCTGGAGTGAAGGACCCTGAGCCCTAAACCCTAAACCCTAAACCCTAAACCCTAAACCCTAAACCCTAAACCCTAAAAAACACCCTAAGCCCCCAAACTAAACCCTAAATCACCCAGACTCTTCAACTCCTCACCCCTAGGCCCTCCAGTCTACCCGAAAACCTAAACCCTAAACCCGAAGCCCTAAACCCGAAGCCCTGAACTCGAGGCGCTGGTTCAATGTTACGCACCCCACGATCAACTGCCAGATCTACGACGCACCTCGGCCCCAGCGAGAAGGGGGGTCCAACTTCGGTCGGTATACCTAAACCCCCAAGGGCTAGAACCCCAAACCCTAGATCCCAAACCCTCTTTGCGGCTTCGGGTTGATGACGGCTTTCATACGGAGATCGACTGGGGTATGTTCCCTTTCTTGAGGCTTCTGCTCCTTTCTGAAGCGCGAGGTGGCCTAGAGGCGCTAAACTCATGGGTTCCCTCCTTTAATTCACCTTATTCTCCCTAAGTAACCTTAATTATCGGGGAACCTGGGGGGAGGGGGGGTAGTATAGGGGGGCTAGTAGGGGAACCCATGACAAACCCTAATAAACACTGAAAGCCAGGCCCCAGCAACCGTGGGGTTTAGGCGCAGGCTTTAGGCTCTAGGGTTGAAAGGTTGGCGTTTAGGGTTTAGGGTTTAGGGTTTAGGGTTTCGGGTTTTGGGTTTCGGGTTTAGGGTTTAGGGTTTAGGGCCTCTCAAAACTCAGATCTGTGGCACCGACAGCCTCTGCGGGGTGATGACTGGGGACCTGACGCTCAACTTCCCGGACCTCGAGCTCGCCCTCAGCAACGTCTCGGCGATCCTCACGTCCGCCGGCGTTACTTCTGTTTGGGGTTTAGGGTTTGGGGTTTGGGGCTTAGGGTTCAGGGGTTCAGGGCAGAAGAAGGATTTTTTGCGGAATGTAAACCTCAACCGTCAAGCCATGAACCCTCATTGCCTCATGGCAGCCTTGAATCCTAAGCTTCCTCCAAACCCCTACTCGCAACTGCCGAAGAGTAATTTCATGAGGCATGTTTGTAGAATGGTGCGGGGAGGGGTTGGAGTCTAAGAGGTGGCAGGGCCCTTAGGTTTTTCCGGCCTCTTGGAACATAGGTCTTCCCTCCTACCCCCCTCTATACTCCCCCCCTCGGTTCCCCCCTTAACTCACCTTAATTCGGCTTAATTATCCCTAAATAGCCTTGATTACGGGGGGAACCTAGGGGGGGTAGTTTAGAGGGGGGTAGTAGGGGAACCCCTGAATAGGCTTGGGATGGCTCAGGGTGTTTTTAAGTACCTGTGATGATTGCTAGTACCTGTGAGGATTGCATCTCACACCGGAAATAGAGGGTTTTGTATATTCCCTTGTGGCCCCTATATCATCCTACCATAATATCCCCTAAAACCCTATTCCAAGCATTGAGGCACCAATATTCGGGAAGACTGTAGCCAACCTGGGTCATTCCCAGACAGCCCAATACCCCTTAACTAAGGCTGCAGTAAATCGCATGACAGTAGGATCCCTTTCTTTTATTTTCATTTTTTCTTTTTTGTGGTCGAGTACTTACTCAAGGGGCATTGGGCTCTTTGGGTTCTTTCCTTTTCCTCACTGGGCTTAGAAGGATGGGGTTTTAAAGTACGAATGGCTTCGGACGTCGCCCCTTAAACCCCACAACCGCCTAGACCCTAGGGTTTAGGGTTTCGGGTTTAGGGTTGTTTAGGGTTTAGGGTTTAGGGTTTAGGGTTTAGGGTTTAGTGTGAGCCCCGAACCTTGAACGCCAAACCAGAACCCCAAACTTCGCCTGGAGCCAGGAGCACCCGAGACGCCCTTGCGAACTTGACCTCAACCACGAGCGACAAAGTCACCGCACCTCGGCTCCTGTCTGAGGGACCCTAAACCCTAAGCCCTAAACCCCAAAACCCAAAACCCTAAAACCCTAAACCCTAGACACCCTAAACCCCAAAACCTAAACCCTAAACACCCTAAACTCCAAAACCCTAACCCTAAGCCCTAAACCCTAAACCCTAAACCCTAACCCCAAACCCGCTCGGACTCTCCCGTCGAGGCTAGTTCAGGGCAACCCTACACCTCACACCCTCGAGCACTCAACCGCCCGAAACGCCTCAATCCCCGAGCCCCAAGCCCTTCAACCCTAAATTTAGAGTTTAGGGTTTAGGGTTTAGGGTCTCCAAAGCCCCTAACCCTCAACCTCTAAGCCCCCAAATTCCCGAAATTCCCTAAATCCAAAAACCAAAGCCCGACAGCAAACCTCCCAACCGCAACCCCTAAGCCCCTTTTCATTTAATCAGACCCTCGGCTTAAGCCCCTCAGTCCCTGAGTCCCTGGAGCCTTAAACCCTAAACCCTAAACCCCAAACCCTAAACCCTAAACCCTAAACCCCAAACCCTCAACCCTCAACCCTCAACCAATTATATAAACCCTGCAAGCCCCAAACTCTCCATCCCAGCCGCTCCAGGTCACGCAGGCCGAGGGAAGGAGGCTCCAGAACAGCACGAACAGCTCCTCGATCCGAGGTAGGCCTCGGGTTTTGGGAGGTTTAGAACCCTAAGCCCTAAGCCCTAAGCCCTAAACCCTAAACCCTAAACCCTAAACCCTAAACCCTAAACCCTAAACCCTAAACCCTAAACCCTAAACCCTAAGCCCTAAGCCCTAAGCCCTAAACCCTAAACCCCTAAACCCTTAAGCCCTGGACCCTGGAAGGTAGAGCCAACCCAGCCGACCAGCCGAGGTTCCAACAGCTCCTTCCTGAAGCTCAAATACGAGATCGTCGAGCTACCCGTCACGGCTCCTGGTCTCGAGATCGGGTTTGAGGTTTAGGGTTTAGGGTTTAGGGTTTAGGGGTATAGGGTTTAGGGTTTAGGGTTTTAGGGTTTAGGATTGAGGAACGTCACTTCTTTGGGTAATATAAAGGATTGGGCCCAGGCAACTTCAACCAAGATGCAGTCCAAACCAAGATCGAGTAATATCAAGATCGCCACTCGAGTCCTAAAGCGTAAGCCCTAAAGACTTACCCCAAACCCGAAACCCGAAACCCAAAACCCTAAACCCTAAACTTGGACCTAAACCCTAAACTTGGCCCTAAGCCCTAAGCCCTAAGCCCTAAACCCTAAACCCTAAACCCTAAACCCTAAACCCTAAGCCCTAAACCCTAAACCCTAAACCAGATCCACCCACGCGATCCCAGAGGCCTCCAACACTCCTGAGCGCCTGAAGACATCGCAAGCCAGCTTAAGACTTCAGATCCCTGGTATAGACCTTTAAACCCCAAACCCCAAACCCCAAACCCCAAACCCCAAACCCCAAACCCCAAACCCTAAACCCTAAACCCTCAACCCTGAACCCTGAACACGAATAAGTATAGTTCAACGAGTGTTAAAGGGTCGAAGGGTTCGAGGGTTTGAATGGTTTACGGTTGAACGTTGTTCAGGGTCTAGGTTGTATGGGAAGTTCTCGAAATCATGGCCCCTGATTTGCTTGCTTGAAAGGAATGGAAGGCTCCATATAGGCCTACAAGCCAAAGAAGCCGTTAATGAGCTTTAATAACCCCTTCTCCCCCCCCTGCCTCGGCACAGCCCATATAGCCCCAAGCCCTAAACCAGTCGGGCCGGTCTGCAAGCTGCCGCCCAAGGTGTTTCCAAACCAGGTGGTGCAGCAGTCGGATGCCTTGATCTCGAAGATCAATACTGGTCTTAAGGCTACCAACATCACTGTGACGTGCCTAGGTATGTTGAGGACTTAGAGAGCCCAATACTCCTTAATTAGAACATACCTGAAGTTCTAGTAGGGGCTGATCTGATTTAAGGTATGTCGGCATATTCCTCCTTGAAGGGGTATCGGGCACTCTGCAATTTCTGGGCTCCCACGGTGTCCTTTCTATTCAGCCTGACCTCAAGAAGCACTCAGGTCGGCACAGTTCCAAGCGCCACAAACGATCACCAACACCCAGCTGTGGGACCAGAAATATGGAGGTGATGGGCCTGGCTATGGGGGTGGGCCTGGCTATGGGGGTGGTGGGCCTGGCTATGGCGACGACGGCGGCGGCTTTGGTGATGGTGGCGACACCGGCGACGACGGCGGGAACCCGGATGGTGGCGACACCGGGGACGACGGCGGGAACCCGGATGGTGGCGACACCGGTGACGACGGCGGGAACCCGGATGGTGGCGACACTGGTGACGACGGCGGGAACCCAGATGGTGGCGACACTGGTGACGACGGCGGGAACCCGGATGGTGGCGACACTGGTGACGACGGCGGGAACCCGGATGGTGGCGACACCGGTGACGACGGCGGTGGTGGTGGTGGCAACCATAGTAGCAACACAACTAGTGGAGGCAACGGTGACGACGGCGGTGGCGACACTGGTGACGACGGCGGGAACCCGGATGGTGGCGACACGGGTGACGACGGCGGGAACTCGGATGGTGGCGACACCGGCGACGACGGCGGGAACTCGGATGGTGGCGACACCGGTGACGACGGCGGCAACCCGGATGGTGGTACCACCAACGGCAGCAACACTACTAGTGGCGGCAACGGTGATGACGGTGGGAACCCAGATAGTGGTAACACCAGTGGCGGTAACAGCAGCAACACTACTAGTGGCGGCACCGGTGACGATGGCGGAAATTCGGATGGTGGCGACACTGGCGACGACGACGGGAACTCGGATGGTGGCGACAACGGCGACGACGGCGGGAACCCGGATGGTGGCAACACCAGTGGCAACAACAGCAGCAACACAACTAGTGGTGGCAACGGTGACGATGGCGGGAACCCGGATGGTGGTAACACCAGTGCCAACAGCAGCAACACATCTAACGGTGGCAACGGTGACGACGGGGATCCAGATGGTGGCGACGCCGGTGACGGCGGGGATCCAGATGGTGGCGACGCCGGTGACGGCGGGGATCCAGATGGTGCTGACGACGGCGGGGACCCAGAGTAGCGACTGTACTGAGAGCAGCCTTGCTGGAGCTGTCAACGGAGGTTGTTCTAAATAGGCAATTTTTCATATGAGGGTCCCGGTAGGAATGAAATTCAGGGTAATTACTTCAGGGTTTTGGTTTTGGGGCCGTTTCGGGGCTTCATTTAGAACAACCCCGGCCCAACTCCAGTCAAAGGGCGTGGAAAGCAGCATGTACCCTGAGACTCAAGACCTTGCCCTTAGGCTTACCGGATAAGCCCTCACCCCTCAACCCTAACCCTCAACCCTAAACCTTAAATCCTAAACCCTAAACACGGAACCCTAAACTCTAAGCTGCAGCGCCTGCACTGGAAGCACGACGTCCCCCCGAGGGGGGCGCGCCTCTCCACAGGCGTGTCTCAAAGGGTTCTTTTACTGTTTAGACCCCCAACCCCAAACCCCAAGCCCAAACCCTAAACCCTAAACCCTAAACCCAAACCCTAAAGCGTTCTGAGTGGAAGGTCGGTACAAGACGGGTTGAAGCTTGAGACACACCTGTGTAAGGCGTGCGCGTGCCCGGCTGAGAACACCGCGCTGGGGAGATCGAGTAATGTCAAGGTCACCACTCGAGTCCTGAACCGTAAGCCCTAAAGGCAACCCAAAACCCAAAACTATATCCCTAAACCCTAAACCCTAAAGCCTAAATCATAAACCCTAAACCCTAAACCAGGCCTTGGGGGTTAGATTTTAGAGTTTAGGGCGCTTTGAGTTTGATGAGATCTCCCTGGTAGCCCGTCAGCCGCACGGTGGGAGCCAAAGTTCTTGGCAAGCTGTGTCTGGGTTTTGGAGTACTACACTTTAATACTTTTTTTGGCTCTGGGTTCCTATAATAGCTACTTATACCTAAAAAGTATATACTTTTTTTCCAGGGTCGACTCCAGAGCTAAGCAGTGTTGCCGAGTAAATAGCAGGTTTTAAGGTTTCGGGTTTAGGGTTTAGGGTTTCGGGTTTAGGGTTTCGGGTTTCGGGTTTAGGGTTTAGGGTTTAGGGTTTAGGGTTTCGGGTTTAGGGTTTCGGGTTTCGGGTTTAGGGTTTCGGGCTTAGGGTGTTTATAGGGTACAAGGAACAAGGCTTGCCTGACGAAGCACAGCTCTCTGAAACTCCTGCAGCCAGCACAAAAAGAAGCCTAAACCCTCATCCCTAAACCCTAAAGCCTAAACCCTAAGCCCACCCTAAACCCTAAACCCTAAACCCTAAACCCTAAACCCTAAACCCTAAACCCTAAACCCTAAACCCTGAACCCTGAACCCTAAACCCTCAACCCTAAACCCTAAACCCTAAGCCCTAAACCCTAATCCCAGGAGCGCTAGGGCACTGGAACTCCAAGGGTGAGGTAATCCTCAGTACCAAACATCACCTCTCAAGCACAGGGTGCCCGAAGCTCAACACCCGAAGGTGTTGTAGCTTCCTCCCTTCCCAAGAAGCATCCGAAACCACTCTAAACGTACCTCTAAAGTCGTGTTTTGGGATGTAGCATGAAGGATAGCGTAGCCGTTCCCGGGCCAAACACACGCACAACTTTTCGCAGCGCGGGTCTCGGGTTGGGGGTTTCGGCTTGTTTCGGTGCCGGCATGCTCCGAGGAAGGAAGGAAATATAGCTTTCAGAAGCTAGCTGTTTCTAAGGGTAGTTCTATGGGCTGTTACCTCCTCTAAGGGGTTCTGAAGTATGGTGTATAGGGTATAGAAAGGGTATATAAGGGGTCCCCTTTTAAGGGCCCATACTAAGGGACCAGGTAACTACCCTTAGGCACGGCAGAGCTACATGGGCGCGTGTCTGCAGGAGTACTCCGTAAAGCTGCAGCAGTACTATTCCTTGCTCGCGCAGCAGGCGCCCATGTTGATCATGGTGATGCTCGCTGTCTTCGTAGGGTCTTCTGCTTTGCTCTGTATACATGCATATGTGCATGTCAAAATATGTGATGTCAAAGCGAATATATATATATATACACACATGTATATATATATATATATACATACACACATATCGAGACATATACATATATATGCACATAAACAGCAACATATACATATACATATACACATACATATACATATACATATACATATACATATACATATACATGGACATAGAGATAGACATATACATATGCATACACATACACATACACACATACACACACACACACATATATATATATATATAGTTTGCCCTTTCTTGGGGGCTCAGGTTTAAGAAGGGCACATGGGTTGCACACCCGCGAAACATACCCCGAAACATACACCCAGTTTTGCAGGGGAAGTGGCTCATGATGCCGCGAAACATACCCGAAACAATACCCCGAAACATACCCGCGAAACATACCCGCGAAACATACCCTGATTCCAACACCTGTCGCGTGCCCCTCCCCATTATCGAACAAAACCTATATATATATATGTATATATATATATATATGTATATATATATATATGTATGCTACCATGTAAATATAAATAGAAATGCAGATGTAAATGAACATCTAGACATACAACATCGTTTTTTTCTTGCTCGGGTTGTCAGGTGAGCAGAGTTTGCATACAACTCTTGCCTGATGAATGTGTGGGACCTGTTGCCCTTTTTGCGTTCTGGGGTTTCCCTCACACACACACATCAGGGTTTAGGGCTTGGGGTTTCGGACTTTTGAAACCCTAAACCCTAAACCCCGGACCCCGAACCCCCAGCCGGACCCCCCCCCCCCCCCCCCCCCCCGCGCGCCCCCCATCGTGCCTCAAGGAGGAGCACGCTGCCACGCTGATGGAGATGCAAAGCAAGGCCTCCACTGATGGAACCCTAAGCCCTAAACCCTAAACCCTAAACTCTTGAAAGAAGCTTGCGAGTTTCAGCCTAAGAGCCAGGCAGGAGGATAGGTTCAGGGTTCAGGGTTTCGGGCTTGGGGCACAAGACACTCTTCTGCTTCTTTCGAATTCTTTCGCGGTGCTCTCACGACTCCGGTCTTGAGCCGAAGGCTGCCAAACACCATGCGCTAGCATGCGGGGTTTAGGGTTTAGGGTTTAGGGTTTCGGGTTTAGGGTTTAGGGTTTAGGGTTTAGGGGCTTCGCGAGGTCAAGCACTTTAAACACTCCCTGACAGCGAAGCGCCACGTAGTCAGACGGTCAAAACCTCTTCTACTGCCACACTGGGTGCGGTTTAGGGTTTAGGGTTTAGGGTTGCAGGTTTGGGGTTTTGGGTTTAAGGTTCCGCACGCAAGCAAAGCATTTAAAAGCTGTGGCGCGGCTGGAAGGCACGTTAGACACTCTCCCAATGAGCGCGATGCTGTTGATTCTGAACCCTGAACCCTGAACCCTGAGCCCTAAACCCTAAACCCTAAACCCTAAACCCTAAACCCTAAACCCTAAACCCTAAACCCTAAACCCCTAAACCCCTAAACCCTAAACCCTGAAGCAACCCCGCGCCCTGCCAGGCCGAGTCTGCCGAGCAGACCCTGACCAAGAAGGAGGCGCAGAGCCACTTTGAGTATCGTGGGTTTAGGGTTAGGGTTTAGGGTTTAGGGTTTAGGTTTTTGGGGGTTTACGGTTCAGGGTTTGGGGTTTAGCGCATCGTTGCGGTTGTTATTGGATTGTTGCTTTTTTGTGTTATTCATCGTTACTCTTCCTATTCTCGTCCGTATTCCTGTGCTGATCCTTGTACTTCGTTGTGCGAGTTACGGTTTGGCGGTTAGGGTTTAGGGTTTAGAGGTTAGGGTTTAGGGTTTAGGGTTCAGGGTTTAGGGTTTACCATTGTTACAGTTTACATCGCCACCTTCTTTGCACAACTATGATCAGAGGTGTCTTCTTGATTTTTGTTTCCACTCTTTTTGGTTCTCCTTGATCTTATGAACCTTCTTATCGTTGACCCTATGCTTCTTGTTCTCATGTTGCTGGTTCTTATGATGCCTATCGTTCTAAGCCCTAAGCCCTAAGCCCTAGACCCTAAACCCGTTGCTATTCTTATTCCGACATCTAAAACTTACTACTACTATTCTTCCACTGCGGCCTTGAGCCCTCCACCCCCATAGGCTCCTCAAGCCCTGAACCCCTACGCCGTTTAGGGTATAGGGTTTAGTCCAGGGTTTAGGGTTTCGGGTTCCCTAAACCCTAAACCCTAAACCCTAAACCCTAAACCCTAAACCCTAAACCCTAAAACCCTAAACCCTAAACCCTAAACCCTAAACCCGGAGACCACGTCGGCGCGGCTCGTGGCCGATTACGAGCAGCGGAAGGCCTCACGGGCGGCAGCCTGGCAGAAGTGGGTTTAGGCTAGGGTTTGTAGGGTTTAGGGTTTAGGGCTCAGGGTTGTAGGGTTTAGGGCTTAGGGCTCAGGGTTGTAGGGTTTAGGGTTTACGGCTCAGGGTGTAGGGTTTAGGGTTTAGGATTTAGGGGGGGGGGGTTTGGCATTTCAGAGGGTTTAGAGGGCTTATGGGTTTTGGGGTTTTTCTAGGTGTGAGGGTGTTTAGGGTTAAGATTTGTAGAGTTAGTGTATGGGCAACAGGGTGGGCTTCTTTGAGGGCTCGCGTTTCGGAACTCCGAGCTTTGCTGTTGAGTGGGTTCTTTCGAGTCCTTGGCAGTTGTCACCGCTCCCTGTGTCAGGGTGGAAGTGTTTAGGGATTATATAGGGTTTAGGGTTTCAGTCGCAGCAGGCTCCACAATTTCTCCACCGATTTGATGTTCCGTGGCAGGAGAGGGGAGAGTGGTAAGACGCAATTCTGATGAGAATAGGGCCTGTGTATCACCAAATAAGCCAAGTTTTTGAGTTGAAACAGCCTGGGCTAGGATGTGGGCTAAAGCAACTTGGAACTTTTTGCAACTTGGAACACGAAGTTACAGGGTGCATACTTCGGGAGCCGGATTCAGCCCTAAAACCCTAAACCCTAAACCTTGGAGCCTCATCGCGGGACTTGGGAATCGGGATTTGGATTCAAGGGTTTAGGTGGATGTCGGAACTAGGACCGAACGTTTAGGAACAAGGACTTGCGACTCAGGCT